AGGAAAGGAAGGAGGCAGACAGAGAAATGAAGGATGCATAGCACGACATGCTCCACTGAAATCTGCAGCTTAAAACCCCAGACACCCTGGAGAACAGTCTAGAGCGATTACTCCAACACCATCCACATATATTTGTGCTAAAACTCTGCAGTTTTTTCAGCCATATAGGAGCGATATGTAAAGAAAAGACAAGCAGATGTTGCTTCAAGTGGTCGTGGAGGTGGAAACAAGATGAGCTTTAGCAGCTTGCAGGATAATAAAATGTATAAGAGACCCGTATTAGCATGCTTGGGACATCCCTCCTCTCAGTGTGAATCATACCTGGTCCTGGTCTGAAACAGCTCAGAAGTGAGTGCAGTTGCTGTTGAGCTCAACAGGAGGAGCTGTTGACTCATCACTTCCTGTCACGGAGCGGTTTGAGCCACTTTCATTGATTTATCTGTTGACAGCCAAAGCAGCAGAGTGGGCAGGGAGATGGTGCTTAATGTGTTCAAACTCCTCAACTGTGAACCTGTGAATTTAATGTGGACAAGCTTAGAGGTGAAGCCCCTCTATGTTCTCTTAATCCTCTTCCCGGGGTCTTTGTTTGTCTTGTTCTGGGCCACATACGCAGTGAATACAAAGACGGCGTCCCATATCATCTGCTCACTCAAGAGGCGCCGCGATCATAATTAAGTAGCCGTCGTGAGCAGGAAAAAAAGTAATTAAGTGTAGCTGGAGTATTAAGATTTCACCCAAATGGACCTGTCATACATCAAACTCAATCCGTCTGCAACACGAAGCAAGCATAACTCTTTCACACTGGGATTTTATGTGGTTGATCAACATAAAATAGCACGTAACCGTGAATTAGACAGACCAGCAGGTAGGAATGCAGGCCACAAATCTGGGCTTTATGGAAGAAAAGGGGCATAAAGGAAGCCTTGTTTACAGTTTGACATATATCAAGTTGTTGCTCTGGTCAGTTAAGACAGAAACTGAACTTGTTGGCCTACAAGCAAGATATGGAGAAAAGTTAACACTGCACATCAACCTAAACACACATGGTTGCACCATACTCTCTGTAAGGAGGGACAGAAAAACTGATCAGAGTTAATATATACAGAGCTATGAACAGATTCTTTGAGAAGACATTTAAAAACATTGATTATTGTTGCAGCATCTTTGTTCTGATTTGTTGTTTGTTGTTGAAGCCCTACGTGTTTAGACAATTATTCCTTTTTACCTTTACCTTTTTACTTTAGGACCCTCTTCAAATATTTTACTCAAGATTTCATGGATGCAGAAGAATGAAGTTCAAGCCATCTCTTCCATCGATCATAGTCGGCAAGAATTAAATCCCAGACTTCAACGTCTTTCTGCTCGACTTTCTAACCAAACAACCAGACACAGATTTAAAGAAGGGCAGCAAAAGCAAAGGAAGTGGATTAGCCACGTTTCTCAACAAAAGATTATGTCATCCATGAGATATGACTGCTATCATCTCTGCTGCCCAGATATTGAGTTGTAAGCACGTCATTACAGTCATGAAACTGTCACACAGCAACAGGCTTCAGTCAGAGGCTTCTTCTGATTCATTACAAGACTGACTGTTACTGGAGATCACCACCCACAATGACTCATTGAAGCTACTTGGATGATATGAGTTATGACAACATTTAATTTCCCTTTGGGATAAACAAAGTATTTTTGAATTGAATTTTGGGAGGTGGTTTAGATTAAAGAATCCGACTGAGCTACAGAGAGAGATTTCAGTAAGACGACTTGTAAAGGTGGAACAGAAATATCCCAAATGACCTGCAGCTGCGTTTGCAGTGATAGGAGGTTCTACAGAAGAGCTTAAGGGGCTGTAACGTACAGCATCAGGCCACAATTTATATTTTTAGATTTACATTCACAAAAACAAAGTAAACAACTAAGTATCACTTCACAATAATTAACTTTATTAAGGTCCATCACCTAAAAGTTCAACAAAATACATGTAAGTTTGTGGTTGTAATGTGACAAATGTGAGGAAAAAAAAGTAGCAAAAACTCCTGGAAATCTGCGTCTAAAACAATAAATAACCTGAAATGTGGGTTTTGGGGAGCAGAGGTTATTCAAGTTTAACACCAGCAGATGCCTGAGGACATCCTCTTATATCCCTCACAGCACTTTTACAAGGAAAGAGTCCTCCTCCGGCATAATCACTGCTGGGGAGGTGATCTGCCTCCGTTTGCTTGCATACACCTTGAATTGAATTAACGAGGAGACTCCTGACTGTGTCACAGTAATGAGAAGGCAACAGCAAATGGAGAGGGGCGCTCACCGGGGACTGCCGATGGATTTAATTAGTCTTTGTTTACCTCCTCGTGTGATGCCGGAGAACCTAAAGCACGATCACAAAGCATGTTTGTGTCTTCATGCTCCCGTCACAGACAGCTGTAAAGGAGATAAACTGTGAACGCCCCGAGTCTATCGGCGCGTGGGGATGGCAGCTCAGTTGGGAGGAAACTCTGCGCAGAAAAGCAGCTTTTGAAAGACACGAAAGCGCAGTATAGGTGTTTTGTTTGTGTCAGTGAGAGCAGAAAGGTAAAGCGCGTCGGGGAAGGAGGAGGTCGGTGTGAGGTGTGCTGGAGTTTGTCATTGGGGGATGTTCTGCTGAGCTCGGCTCATACAGCGTGGAGAGGAAGCGTAGCGGTGCACAGGCAACATCTCGCACAATCCCAAATGCTCTGTCAGGGAGATAGAAACGGGAGAAATGTGGACATAAACCTCCACATCCTTCAGTAACATCATTACAACAAATAACTGCAGCACAGCTTATGTGAAAAAGAGAAAGTTGGAGGTTTTTTTTTTTTGTACATACGGCACCATCCAAAAGCCTTCATACATTTTTACATTTAACATGACTCAACCATATTCAGCGTGTCTCATTGGGATTTCAGTGATGAATAATTGGCAAGGTTTTCTGCAACGTTTAGCTCGGGGAACGGCTGGCTGGCTAACAGGGCGAGAAACCTGGACAGGTCACCAGTCCATCACAGAGTAACATGGAGGAAACCATCCACCTATAAACTGGATGGTTATAGGAATACAGAAAAAAACTCGCGACAACATGCTAAGTCCATGCTGAACCACTTCAAACCCAGAACCAACTAATAATTTTTGGCCTCCATGTAGAGGCTGTTTGCTGTGTCCCCTACATGGTACATGGAAAAAGATTAAACATGGCTCCTTATGCCTCATTCAAAAGGTTTTTTTTTTTTTTTGTATTTCTACACATCAATAAGGTCCAGATTTATTGAGTGCATGTATAATAGTTGTCCATTCCTACATATTCTCCCACATGAGCTGATTACGGTGGGCGTTTATCGTATTGAGTATAATTTATCGTGATACATTTCTTATGATCATTTTAAATTATTGTTTTCACAATAAATGTGCATTTTTAATAAAAAGGTCTCTTGTCAGGATTGTTATTTTTAAATGCAGTTATTATGTTCAGTGTAGAGATACAAACAACACGTCCTTACATGACTCATGTCTTAAAGAAACATGTTGCAAATAGGAGTGTTTGTTTGTCACACAGGTACCTAAAAAAATAAACAAAAGTTTTTACAGTCACTTTTATTGTTACCACAATAGCACCTCAAAATATTGTGATAAAACTAAGTTCACAGTTATTATAAAAATGTTATATAAAATATGATTTTAAGGAAATTTTACTTTGCAATTTAATGCCTTGAAATTGGGCCTCTGTCTCTTTAAGAGCTCCTGTTCTTTCTAAAAGTCCACCTTCAGGAATTCATCACTTTGCCACTCCTCTATTCACCCTTTAACAACATTTAGTAATTCATATAATGAACTCAGAAAATTGGTAGTTCCACAAGATGTTTGCTAATTGCTGGAGGCTAGTCTGAAGGAGCTGAAACTGCAGCGGTGAGAAGGAGCTGCGTCCAACAAGGCGTTGTGCACCGCTGAATGATTGCCATGACAAAATAAATAATTTCTCAAACATGCATGAAGGAATCAAGGTGACACTCCACGTATGTTTTTGATAAGGGAATAACATTATAACATGACGCAATGTTCACGCAAAGTTAAAAAGAAGTTGAAAAGCTTTCTAGGAGCAACATAGTTTTAACTGGAATGGTTAAATTTACTGATATGTAAGTTAAATCTGTCATCTATCATTGAAATATTTCTACGTTATGTTGTGTGTTTTTAATGATGGACACCAGGAAGAGCAGCTGGGTGTAAAGTCCAGCCAATGGGCCTCCTAAACAATTAAATAGCTTGTCCACATGGCAAGTGATGGCCTTCTTTTTAAAACATTACATTGAGCTAGAAGAATAGTATGCAGAGGCGCTAATTTTTCAAAAGCAGTGACTGCAGGAGTCTGAGGAGGCTAAATGAGAGCAAATCACACATTATAATAAATCTTTGTTTCCTCAGAGCAATCGGGGAAGAGAGCGTGCCGCCCCACGGCCCAGCGGCGGCGCATTAAGAACGCTCGACTGGGTTTTCGGTGAGGGGGGAACCTCCGGTCCTGGTGCTGGTGAGCTCTCTATCTGCTGGAGGTGCAGAAGACGACTTCCCCCACTCCGTAAAGCGCTGCAGAACCATTTAATACACGGATGCAGGCACAGTACACAAACAATACAGTTTGCTGTTCACTCGGTGCCAGAAAGCACACACACCAACTGCCTCTCCAATTAAACATCATTAACACGATCCCCTAGGTGTGCTTCCCACTTAAGTGTGATGCGAACGTTCTGCCTTTCGCCAGGCTGACAGACGGGCTTAATTGGCTTCTGAAAGACACAAATGCCCTTATGTAAGCTTCTAAACCCAGCTCTGAGTACAGCTCCTGATAGATAAAGGAAACGAGAAAAAAAACACAGCTCTTCAAGCAAGAATGAGCACAAACTCAGAGGTAGCGTACTTGTCTTGTGCAAATCAGTCACTCAAACCCTCTACCTGCTAGCCAGATGCACAAAAATACAGACACTTTGCTATTTTCTTGATATTCAAATGTCTTTTATATTCAAAAATATCATCCAAGCATTTACAGTGTATTACAACAAATGAGTCTATGCAACTGCTGACAGCCTTTACAGAAAATGAAGAAATATATTCGTTTTTGATCTATGTTACAAACCGGCAACAGCAAAAAGAGAAGAGAAGGAGGTCGACGGGTTGGGAGGACACACCCTCATCTCCTCCTGGATTAGCCCTGTAGACCTGATACCTTACATAGTCACGTGTCGGCTCCGAACGCACCGCGCTCTGCTCCTGTGGGCAAAACTACGTGATGATCCAGTGACGGTAGAAACTGGTGCTCCTCTGCGACTCCCAGGGAGTCATCATGTCTAAAAATATTTTGCAGATGCACAGGAACTCGGAGATCAAGCTTCTGAGAACTCCATCATGGGTGCTTGGTCTCAACAGCGATGATGTTTAAAGTCTCTGCCACCTACACAGTCCCTGAAGTGCTCATGTAACATTCCCGCTTGATCTGAGATCAGTCCTCTGTGTCCCTTGTACAGTCAGGGTTCAGTACCGAGTCTTTGATACTTGTGAGCTAGATACTGTATCTTTCACATTGCTACAAAGTCTGTGTTGCCTGTCGTCTTCTCGAAGCCCCAGAAGTGTCACCTGCGGAGCCTAAGTGCTCTTGATGCCCTCAAAGCCGCAGAAGTTCCAGCGTTTCTCCAAACTCGCTCCGACGCCAGTCAACTCCTGCCTGAAGGTGCAGGGCAGCCGGGAAAGAAGAGCCTCCACCTCACTGGGGTTAATCTGCAGACACAGAGAGACGACAAGTCCACATATGTCAAGGGTGCTTTCTGTTCAACTGCAAAAACACAAAACATTAGCAAGTATTTTTGGTCCAATTTCTAGTGCATGTAAAAAAAGACAGGCAACTTTTCAGTAAGACAGCAGCTTGTTTTAAGTCAATAATTCCTTGATATTAATAGAAAAAGTGCTAGTTCCACTTGCAGATAATTTCACTTATAACATGGGGAAAATGTCTTACAAGCAAAATAATCTGCCAGAGATATTGAGATTTTCATCAATATTATGGAAATATTTACTTAAAATAAGCTCCTATGTATTGCTGATAAGTTACTTGGAAGTTAGTTTTGTCTTATGTCAAGTGTAGTAAGATATTTTCACTAGAAACTAGAAAACAAAAACACTTGGAAAGATTTTGTGAAGTGTAATTGTCAGTCTATTTTATTTATTTCAACCCCTGCTATTGTAAATTTTACTCTCATCCAAGACGTGGGCAGCTATTCATCCCAAAGAGCAACAGAAGCATCTTTGACCACAAGCTAAAACAACTTGTGCAAAAATATATTTGACAGAAAATTGTAGGTGTCATTTTGATCGACATCCAGTTAAATGCCAATGGACAATAAAACACGACCCACCATGCTGAAATCCTAAACTTGATGACTATCCCAGGTTGACCTGAAGGCTTTGATAACCTCACAATCTATGAGATTTAGAAAATCTTGTCAAGATGTGGCATCATGATATACTCTTACAAAGGAGGACTACATGCTGTCATGGATTTTTGTTACATTTTGTCCTCTAATGGGATACAAGCCCCATTAAAAGGTGGCAAAAGTTATGAAAAGAAGAGGATTGTTCATACTTAGAGTGTTGACATTTTAGTCAGCAAGACAAACACAACAGCGTTGACTGATGCTTTCCCTCTGAAGCAAAAAGACAAGAAATAAGGAGATGTTGAAGGATGCTACATGCTAGCTGTGCTAGTGCTATATGCTAACACTACATGTTACACTAATGTTAGAGAGCAGCTTAAAAAGGTCGGTAAATCTCCTGTATCTGCAGTGGTGCAGTACAGTAAGAGCTAAAAAATATTACAATAAAGTTTTTAACATTGGTGCTAACAGTGGACAAGTGTTAGCTTGTCCACTGTTTAACCAAACAAGGAAGTGCTATGTTTAGATCATATTTTATAAACAAGGCCCGAAGTGTTCCCTATTTTTTTTGTAACTTATCATATTTTTTGCTGTTAATGAGAGCAAAAAAGATCCTTCAAAAAATGTTGCTGTGATGGAGTATTTTTTTATATCAGTTTTGATGTTTTAGTAGTGTGATAACACCATTGTGTTTTCAGTAAACATTTATCACACAAAAACATTTTCTGCCGAGAAAATGATCAAACTGAAATAAAACTTTTCACCTGCATGTGTCATCCATTGAGCAGCTCCTCCATTCATGCTTTCTTCTCTGACTCCACCACATCAGCTCTTATAAACCCACCTCTGACATGAGTGGGGCGAGGATCAGCCGGCCAATTGAAATCCCACATGATCACGTCAAAATGAACAGTTTGAGGATCTACGATCAACCTGCGGCATTTTTGAATTAATCTGTGAGTGTTCGTGCTGTGACACATAAAGGTCCACCATGCAAACAAGATTGCCATTTTACAATGGAGCGGTGTGTGTGTGGAGCCAGTAGATAAGCGTAGAGGACTGAGCTTGCAGTTGGGGAGTCTAGCCAAGGATATTGACAAAACTCTGTGGGCTGCACGGTGTGTGTGGCGGAGAGTCAGCGTGGGAACAACAGATGCACAAGAAAAAAAAAAAGAAATCAGACGCACGCAGACAGAAAAGCGTGGGCGGGTGCACAAGGCAACACATGAACATAAAGTAGAGGAATAATAATAATAATAATAATAATAATAAACGCACGAGAGGACTGTCACACTCTCTGTATACGTGAGAATGAGTCAAGCTGGTGATGAAAATATACAGACAAGAACAACTTCTCTAGTAGACAAGAAAAAGTTTCTAAAGATGACAAATTGAATATCTAAGTGATGAGGTAAATAATACTTTTGTCGACACAGATGGAGACTAATGCTAGTCCTACACTTTGGAGGCGACGCTAAAAGGTGGTGATTTGAAAGCTTCAATCGACGTGCCAAAAGAGGAGTCATAATGGGAGTGAAATGCCTCATCAGAAAGATGAGACGATGTGGCTGCACTTCATCAAAAACGAATGTCAGAACACCGAGTTGGTGCTCGGCTCCCAGTGACAGACTGATGGATCGGTTTTAATATAGTCTGGCATGAGGAAAAATCCCACAATAAGGCAGCGATGGCAAGATGCAAAAGTGTTCAATATTATTAAAGTCAGAAACAAAGTCCTCAAAAGGATAAAGTTACTCTAAAATTACAGAACAAAAAGTATTTGGGATTTAATTCAAGTTAAACACAATCATTTAAAAACAAATCAAAAGGCTTGTCGGTCATTTTTAACCCTTGCATTGATTTTATACAACGAACAACTAAAACAAAAGAATGGTGCAAAATTAAGACAGACAGGATTTTAGTTTTGTCTTTCAGGGAGAAACTTTTACTGACAATTGACTGCAAATGGAAAATGTGAAGTACATCACACAGTCTCCATCTGTTAGAAATAAAGTTTAAATAAGGTTTGGACTTTTCTTGCCTTACCAATACAAAGTAAGATGTGATATGTAACAGGATATAAAATAAAACAAATAAAAATATTACAAGTGGGTGTACTAAAAGAACACATTTTAAGCTTAAGCAGTATCTAAACAGCATGACTTTTACGAAATAGAACTTATGTTTTGTACTTATTGAACAAGTTGAAATAAATTGTGTTTCCTACTTCTCTGTTAAATCCAAGGTGGCCTTAACTCAATACTTATTTATTATGAGGAGATTGGAAGTGAAAACCTGTCTTGGCTTTGGTTGGTGCAATCAAAGCGTCATAAAACAGGAAGTTGTTGGATTCTGAAGCTGGTGGATTGTTGAACTTATTATAACTTGTGGTATGAATGTCAGGATTTGACTGACTTGCTGAAAACTCATTTGCCCTTTGAGAAAAATACAAGTCAAGTTGCTTCAAGAAAAAAAAAGTTCAGGTGCTGGTTTTAAAAAAAAAGTTTAAAGAAATACTTTGAAAGACTTTCAGAACGCCTGGAGAAATACTGATCCAGACTGTAAACATTTCATTAAAGTTTGGCTCCATGGAGGCAAACGCTATTTTTATTTTTTTTTTACAGAGGTGTAAATGTCTACCCTTAATTATTTTATGTTAATATTCACCATCTTTAAGAGGCTTCTAATTATGTAAAAAAAAAAAAACAAAACAAAGAAAAACATTTATTAAAGCCAGATGTGGAACAGGTTGTACACGTCAGAAAAATGATTAAAGTTGCAGATTTTTGTTGAACTGAGGTTCTGTGAATAATAGCACCTTTAGCTGCAGTCATATTGCTGTCAGATTGTAGAAAAGTAAATAAATCCTCAGCAGTGGAGGTATAACATCCAGACTGGCGCTTGTTTATGACGATTTTAACCATTTAAAACATGTAAAAATGAAAATGCTCACATAAGTGGGCTACGGCGCTACATCAGCAGATATTAAACGTTTGCAGTTTCAGAAACAGGTTATGAAGTTATTTCCACTAAATTGTTTAAACCTTCAACTCTTAAGGATGTTCTAACCTTAACAAAATGATTTTTTTGTTAATATCTTCTGTTAAATTAGCTCAGTGTTGTTGAGTGTGATTAAATCCTTTAATTTCTAGAAAAACAAAATCACATCAACATAGGAACATTTCTCAACGGAGGACTAAATATTTAATGACGTGTGTTATTTTTTTTGTCGTCCCCTCATTTACCTCCCAGCGGGGGGGCCAAATGAGTGCATCTGTGAGGACGTCAAACTGTCCTTTAAAGCGATTCTGTTTTAGGGAACTTCTGGTAAATCCATCCACCTCTGTGGAACAGCCTGCAAAAAGCATTAGGGAGGTCCGCTCGGATTAAGTTTGAGTGAATATCCAAGCCCATATGTCAGCCCAGCAGGGCGGACCAACACGCTGTCTGTATAAATGCATGTAATCTAGATTTATACCAAAGGGCAGCACTGTTCCAGCGCTCCTCAGTGGAAAGCTTTGATTCAAAGCGTTACCTTGGTGTCCAAACGCTGGAGGTAGGAACAGATGTACTCGATGCTGGCTCCAAACGGGTGGACGTGCAGGAAGGTTGAGATGATCCCTGAGGAGAGAAAAATAATAAGTCATGCAAAGCTGCTAACTTCCAGCTTCACTCAACCATTAAACATTGAGAAATTACCAGAGGACATTCGCAGCAACCGTTCTTTTTTTTTTTTTCTCCCCCCCTTCTTTTTTTCTCAACTCTTCGCCGTCTCCTTGGGCTGAGTGGAGGAGCGGCTTTAAGCGACTTCTTCCCAGAGTCCCATTACTGTTAAAAGCCTCTTGTATGTTGTCGCTCCAGATTAGAAAGAGAGTTTAATGATGCCTTTGATGCTGTTGTCTCTGATCAAAGCCACACTCTCCCCCAGCACAAACAAACCATCTGCCATCAGCTCGCAGAGGAAGACCAGAGGAGAGCCAGCTCGCTGTCTGCGCTCACTAACCACCGACGTAGCTGTGCGGCACACTTCAATACGCCCGGCTTCTGGCTGAGCAAAAACACAACCGTCGCTTGAAGCTTTAAAGAGGCAAAATGCTGCACCAAGACTTCATTTTTGTCAGCTGCGGGAGGTCAATCAATACTCGAGCACAAACAACGCGCTCGTCTGGAGCCGCTCAGCTGAATGGGAGTTTAATGGGGCACTCAGATAGAACAACAAGTCCAAATCTGTCTGATTTATTTGGCTCAATTTACCCACTGGAAAAAACAACAACAACAACAACAACAACAAAAAAAAAAACTTTGCTCTGCATGTATGCCATGAAAAAGCCAATAAAGAAAAATTGTTCTCCAACTGTACAAAGCTTCCAGTTTGTGTGAGCTGGGTTTCATCCTCCCTTCAAGTCGGTGCATTAAAATGTGAATAATTCGTGCCTTCCTTTTTCATAAATTAACAGAAACTGCAGGTGTCCCTCCTTGTTTTTGTCCTTCGGCTCCTGTAGTCTGCAAACTGAACCAGGCATTGAGCAGCATCTGCAGCTTACACTCTGACACCACGCTTTCTGTCAACACAACAAAGCCTGCAGCAGAGACAAGAATTATTCCAAACACAAAACTTTAACACTTGTCTAGTGGTAGGAATGTGAAGCGGTGATAATGCGTGTTCTCTGAAAGGCATAAACAAAGTTTTTATTGCCCACTGCTTGTTTTTATTTCCCCTCATAGCTCACTTTTCCTCCACAAATTGCCTTGCTAACAATAATACATGTAAATATCTAATTTACAAATGTGCTTAGACAGTGGCTGTTAATTCTACTTGTCCTTGATCTGCGCACGGCTCAATTAATTTAATGAACTTAATTAGGAAGGCACGCATCTGTCTAATGTGTCACAGTCACTTCTGTATGTCAGAGTTAAACTGAGCTACAAGGGCTGCCAGTGAAACATCAGAAGATATTTCATTGGACTCTCAAACGCCTTTATTGGGAATTTATATGTTAGACCAACACACAAAACTGCATAATTGTGAAGTGAAACAAAAATGTTACATGGTTTTATTAATAAATAATGAAAAATGTAAATGTGCACTCACTGTTTGAAGTTAAATCAGACCAAACTTTACAACAAAGTTCTCCAGTAATTTGCATCGGAAACGCGGCTAGTGTCGTTTTACACGAGCTGCGTTTGTAAACGTCTGGTTTCATCTGAATCGTCTCATTCAAAAAGACATTTGTGAAAAGCAGACTTTATAGATTTGGGGGCACAGCAAAACATTTATTAACTGACCTTCCATTAACTAACAGATAGATTTCTTGGGGTAAATAAACAAGCATGATGAAATAATGACCATCAGAGAGACACTCTATTGATCAGAGATGATTAAACTGAGTGGAACAAAGAGAAGCATTTGCTCACCAAAACTCACTGGACAGACAACTGGGCATGGAAGCGTTATTCGATAATAATCTCTATTATAGGAAAGCCTACAATGATAATAGTCCCAATTGGTATTAATTTAATAAGTTTCAGCTAAACTGGAAGCAGTCTTGGTGTTTTTTTAATCAGAAAAAAAGAATATATGAATAAGTAACCTTAATTTTGAGATTTGTTTTGTCGACTGAAGGAGCTAATAAACCGAATCTGCTTAAACAAGACTCTGTAAAATAATGAGTGTGAAAAAGAGCCCACAGAGCTTCAGTTTGCACAGAAAATTGAGCCTGAATGAAGACATTGATGTGAAAGTGGCGGCAGCTTACCAACTAGCAGGGCTTCCCTCTCCGAGTGAATGGGACTTGTTGAGTTTTTCTCTGTGGGACCTCTTTTCTCCTGACTGCAGGACACCACTGCTGAAAGTGTGGCTTCCTGCAAACATGGAAACACACAAAGAGAACCCATGAATAAATCAGACATCAGTCGCTGATGTAGACAAATTAAATAGGATTAGGGCTTAAGAATCTTACAGAAATACGGAGCTGGCTACAGTTTACATTTAGTCATCATGAATATCATATGTATTGAATTTCCCAAGTTTTATTTAAGGAAGTATTTTTTTTAGGGTGGTGCACAAGTTAAATATATGTTTTCTTATCCATGCATTGAAATAATCAAATAAACACAAATAGTGGTACTGAGAAGAGCCAAGTTTATGTTCTATAGCAATAATTTCCCAATATCATTTCTAAACATTTTCCACATATAATCAAACACTTATAATGTACAATCCAAGCAAAATAGAAAATCTAACCATCATGCATGAGATTATTCATCCTTAAACTAAACCATGAGTCACTTTTATCATTTTGCCTTCTTTGGCAGCATTCCACATCTTAATCTGACAAAATATGTCCGTTCCAACTCATAAAGGTTCTTGAAATCTATGAGATTGCAATGAAGTCAGTTGTCTGCTGCCCTCTTCAGGATCACAGATTTTCTATCCAATTTCTGGACTCTGGCTACGCCGTCCCAAAACTTTAATTTTCTTTGTGTGAACAAAGGGAAACTGGCGACCGGTGGAAAGTTTAAAGAGGCGGGGAGCTGCAGAGTTGCGCGCTTGTCAGACTGGAAACTGAGGAGCAATACACTTCGTTAGATGGGAGCTGAGGCTCATGCTGTGGTGTTATGAACTGGTTTCACATCCAAATCTTCACTGTGGTTTTGGTAGCTTTTACTGGGTGATGGGCTGAGTGTTTTGTCCCAAATATTCATTTTGGAACTGTTGCCCTAAAATTAAACTTTATTCTAGACTTATGGAGAATTTATGATTACATTCACAAATCAAATACATCTGATTAATGAAATCTCATAAATAAAATGTCTTAAATGTGTCTTTAAAAGTTGAATGTATTCATGTCTGTGATAAATATATGAAAACATCAGAAGGTTTCACCATATCAATCCTGAGAAACAACAAATCGGTTACGGGTGAAGCTCAGAAGGAAATTCAGACATCAGCTATATTTCTAACAAAGTGATACTTGTCAAACACACACGCACACACACATTTACGCACACGTCACAAAATGAGATGAGCTTTAAGGAAGCAAACAGAGGCAGAGGGAAGAGGCTTAAAAGGTAAATGATTAAACACTTTGCTCCAGATCTCTGACAGGTGGCAGAGAAAAGGCAAATGAGTTTTTATTGTCCAACATATTACTGTGTGTAATGTTTCCACTCATGCTGTGGGATGCCTGGTGGCCATTTTCAGTTTTTAATCTATTTATCACACCCTGTTTGGATACACCGGCGTGTGGGACTGCAGACATATACACATGTGCAAGGCATCTTAGTGTTTACGGCTGCTTTATTTCCGATCTCGACTGAGTCTGGGTGATTAATTCAATGACAAATGTAGTTACAGCACGTTAAGTCACTTTAGGCTACAATGATCTGTTATGTCAGTGGAGGAAGGGAAGGAGAAGGAGATAAGGAGAAAGATGACACATAAAAACTGAGGAATGAAAATCTTAATGGGCAGGAAGGGCTTTAAGTTTTCCACTTACAACAGTCTTGTTGTTGCCGTCGTCTTTGCCTCCATTGCCCGGGTTTGACATCTCCAGCTGCAGCACATGAGGAACGACACAGCAATGAAAGAGTTCAGCTGTGTCCAATCAAGCATTGTTTACTATGAAAATACAGTCCCGAAAAATTGTGGATTTCAAACAGACAAGCAACGCTGAATCACTGGACCCCATATGGAGACATTTAGCTAATCTGAGTCAAAACTGGAACAAATGAATCATCTGATGAGCATACAACAGTTTGTGTCCAGATTTTCCTGAATGGCTGCTCTCTAAGAAATCCAACCAAGTTATTCGACATCAGATTACCTGATCAGTAGTTATCTGACAGAGATAACTACTAAAATTGGCTGCTTTAAAAACACCAGCTAACGGCAGAGTCCCTATAGGTCTTTCAATATTTCTTTCTAATATTTTAGAAAAGCTCTGTAAAAGTAAATGAGTGAATAGATGGGATTTCTGTGAATAATTTAAAGTTTAAAGTTAAGAAAAATCCAGGAATACTGATAAATATATGCATTTATGCTCCAGAGCAGAAAACTGATCAAATTCCTTTTGCACTGGTGACCAAATCTCATGATGTGGAAGTAGCCACGTACATTTTATTAGCAGCACCAGGCTGCAAGTTTCTACCTTAATCTTTTGGCACATTTATTTATGCCCATCAGTTATGCCCTGATATGCAAAGAATCAAAACTAAAAAGTTTACTTCAAAGTAAAGAGACATAAATCTTAAAAGCGACATCCTTCAATGTGTGGGACTGGAGCCGTTGAAGTCGACAGAATTAAATCAAAAAGTGTACGCAATTAGAACAAACAAACCAACAAATAAATCAAACACGAAACTGTCAATAGCGGCAGTAAAATGTGATAAAAACTGATGGAAAAAGTTTGTTTTGATCGTAATAATAAGAAGGTTAATCTCTGCAATGACCTGCAGTCGAGTCGCAGGAGTAATGTGTGGTGACAGCTTGGGGACAGCAGGGACACTGCGCCGATGAAAGAGAATTGAGGCCGTAAAGAAATATCCTCAACATGACAAATCGTCCCACAGTGTCCGCTAATCTTCAGTGAAACCCAAACCCTAAAATTGATTTCTCTTTTAGCCTGTAATGAGACTGTCTTTCATGATTCAAGTTTGCCAGCATGCAGGAATTTTAATTAGTATATTTCCCCTCAGCTCGCAGGCGTGGGGACACATTTCTTATCAAACTCATCACCATTAACAAGCTATTGACAAGCGTCCCTCTGATAAAGGGGACTGACAACACGTTCCTGATTCAGCTCTAGGTTATAAGAAACCCGCCGACGATCTCATGGAGGGAATCCTCATGAGCTGTGAGAGCCCTTAGTTTGTATTATCAGTTTAAGAGGTGATTTAACTGAGGCTCATTATAATGACAGCCATTGCTCTCATTAAACAGAGCTGGAGGGAACATTAACAAACAAATAGCAGACCACCGGGGATAGCGGACAACACCTGAAACATTAGTAAACATGATGGGGCTACCGGAGAAAAATGACCCCTGACACTTGAAAATGTTTTTAAGACCGGGTATTTAGCATTGCAGCTCGGTTGTTAAACAACCGGGCATTAATTAGTATTAGGCTCAGTTTTGCTGGCAAATGAGCAGCTTAACATAAGCAACACATCCAGTGAATAAATAATAAAGCAGGAGTGTCTGTAAGTAATGATTCAGGCTCCTGAAACGGCTCTGGTTTAATTTAAAGTGAGCTTCTTCTGGACGTTGCAAAGACCAGCTATTCAACTACAACTGTGAGACGGTTTTAAAGCTGCACACCGGACACTTCTGTAAAAGTAAGTGAAGTTCACCTTGGACAGTTTGACACCGTGTCAGGGTCACGTTTTGTTTTATTATTTTGTTGTCATGGTTATCTACGTACAAATGATCTACCCTCCAAAAAAATAAAAAAAAAGCTTTTGCAAAACACACAGATGCTTGATGACATCACATAAGACATAATGTTACTGAGTTTTTTTGGGTGTGCCTGATTGTATTTTTTTGTGTTTTCAAATGCTTTTACATGTTTTAACTAGTATTGAGAGTTATTTGCAGGTTCTGTAATTAATTCATTAATTGCAATTAATCCCATTTTAACTGAAGACTCTATATCGACAATCTGAGGAACATTTACAACTCAAAATCCCTTTGAATTGCTGCAACACGCTTAAAGCTGAAATGCTATTTTAGGCTTGAACAGCTTTGCTGATAGATCAACTCGTTTCAGTACAACTTTTAGCACAACTTAGACACAACATATTCGGTTTTTGAAGCAAAAATTATCCCCCAGTGGGCCAAGAGAATCGGCTTTTCTGTCGACTATGAATGATTCTTGTGTGTCAGTTTTACAGGCCTACCAGAAACACATGGAAAAAAAAAGTTCCAAATATATGAGTTATATTAATTCCAAATATTAATTGTGTTAAAATCTTTAATGCATTAAAATCTACGTAATTAATTAATTGAAATTGTGTCATTAAAGTGCCAGCCCTAGTTTTAATCAAATTCACCTCAATTCTAGTTCCTCTTGTGATATCGTCAATACACAAACACAGCAGTATTTTTCTCTTATGTGCAGGTTTAAACCACTTTTATTTTGTAAAATCCTGTGGTAGGGATAAAAATGACTTCAAAGTAAGTGGAAGTTTGTAATTTTAACAGATCTTGCATGATAAAACTCTGCACGGTGCATCCCAGAGGACCGTGAACCACACACACACAGTCAAAGAAGCAGCAGTGCCTCATTACTTACAAGCACAAAACTGGAAATGGAAAACATTAATGATAGCTTTGATTATTTAAATCATATACTGTGATACAAATATGTAAAATATCAGTTCAAATGCTTAAAAAAGGGGGTTTGAAGGTGAGTGTTTGCACCGTCTGCCTCTGAAGCTGCAAGTTGCAGCATTTTATATAATATTTCCACTCAAATAAGCAGTTTTTAATAGCTGGTTCCAGTAGTGCATTGCATCAAGTGAATTTTAAAGATTTTAAGAAAGTCTGGCTTATTAGAAGCAAATCAAAAAGAAGTGTGGGATTTTTTTTCTCACAGTTTTGGATGCTTAAAAACTAATCCATAGGTTTTGTACCCAAAGTGAAAAAGCTTCACCACATGACAGATCATCAGATAGATCCTCTTCTGGAGTGACTGCTTTAAAATTCCCAGCAAGGCAACACTTAATTTATAATCCGAAACCCTCTGTGTTTCCTATTTAAAGGCTGATTAATATGTTAACATAAAGAGAAAAATATGATATGCAAATATGTGAAAGTAGGCAATCACATGACTGGTTTGTGTTTAGTGTGTGTTAACTGGGCTTTTTATTGCTATGAAATAAGAGCAGTTAAACTGAGGCGTCTTTTAAAGAACCACTTAATGAGACATTTGAAATTAGAAAGATCTAATAAGAAATTTGAGCTGAATGCAATTTACGTAAAAAAAAAAAAAAGATACAAGTATGAATTAAGGTGAAAATGAACACTGAACGAAGCCAGATGATCAATGACACTGTTGTCAGCGCTTTCCTTCAGTTTCAGTGATAGAAATATGCACCGAATGCATTTGGAGATTTCTTAGTAGGAGCTTAGAAAAATGGTTAAAGTAAGTATCGCCACTTTGATCCACCAATGACTTAGTCCTTTACTTTCTTCCAGGATTTGCATAATCCTGGACGTCCTCAGCTAACCTCTCTCTTATGAAAGCGCAGACTGCAAAGTTTGTTCTCTGAACAAAGACGGTGGCAAACCACAGACGAGTCCCGCTGTGAAGCCCGCTAAGTAAACGCTCCGTGTCGGCTCTGGCGGAAGCCAGCAGAGTGAGGGATGTCATCTGTCACACTGACCTGCATTGTGTGTGTGCTCTGCAGCTTCTGCAGACCTTCCTTCAGATTCTGGACTTGCGACTTCAGCTGCTGTTTGTCCTCGAGGCTCTTTTCCAGCTCCGCCTCCCGCTGCTTCAGTTCGTCCCTCATTTTTAACAGTTGCTGTGAAAACAGAGCAAACATTAAGACGCTAATGTTGGTGAGAACTAACCAGCCGTAAAAACACCACGAGGTGTAATAAAAAAAAAATTAAATCAGCACATTGTTTAGCAGGCGAACTTTGCATGGGCAATTTTTTTTTACATTAATCTTAAAATGCAATAAATTAAATAATGAATGACCCCTCTGAAGTAAAAATGGATAGAAAAAAATATTAATGCTGTAGTATGATCTCAAAAAACATTTAAAAAAAAATCTGAAAATTGAAACCTTTAATCGCGGTACATTTATCCAGGAACAAATTAAATCAAAGGTTTGAGCATAAAGAGAGAAACATTTTGGTTCTTGGTCTGTTTGGTTTTGTTTTCTGTAGGCGTTGAGCTTCCTGCAGCCATCAGCAATGAATTAAAAATGATGTTCAACCTTATTCAATTTGGCATACAACATTCAGGCAAGTTGGTAAAAGTTAGCTTGAGTCTATTTTCTTATTTAGTCCTCTTGTTGGCAAGGAGGAAAGTGTTTAGTGTGATTACTCCTTTTGAATAGTAATGGGAGACCTTGATTTGATTCTGGTCCTGAAGCCATTTGAAATTACTTTTCTGTGCATTCCAGGTCTGGATTTAATGTTGGATTTGTTGGCTCTTGATTCCTAAATAAACTATTGCTCAACCCCCGAGAACTCACAGGAAGGAGGCACATATTCACCCTTTGTTTCATTCAGTCCAAACCCATTGAGTTTCTGTTAATGTCACAATTTCAGTCTTAACTGACCAAAAGCAAATTCACCAGCTTATGCTTGTGACAGTCGGAAAGAAAAAGTTTCACTTCTTAACAACCAGATGACATGTTTAATGGTTGTCTGGAAATCCAATGGTCTCTACCTGAGAACATTAGAGATTTTATTTCCCCTCCATTACCATTCTCCTCTCTGTGTGTGGGGACAATGAAATGACCATTGGTTTGAAGGGATGGCATTTAAGTTATATAAATGATATGCAAGGTTCCTACACAATTTTCATTTCAGAATATTTTTCCAGGCTCACATTTCTCCCCATTTTTTGTGTTTTTTTTAAAAACATTCTGGACATTTAAAAACAAAATACTATCAAGCATCTGCTTGAATTGTCATCACCTGTAAGGTGCGTAAATCACAGAGTGTTAAACATTGTGTGATTTTTACAGTGTTCTTCTAGTGGTTTTGTGGTATCAAGCCCAATTTCTAGAGCTATTGCTCTTAGACTGGTCAAATAAAAAATGTGGGAATTTTGAACATAAATATCTAAATTTGCTTTGTAATACATCCAAAGAATAATAGTGTTAGTGCTTGGTTTGAAGTTTTTAGAGTCGGGTTAAAAACAACAGGTCTAGAAACCAAATAGTAGTAAACTTGATTTTTGAATAAATCTACATTCAGTCAGTAAGTTCAAAACAAAATAATGATGATTAATAAAGAAGTGGAATCAAGACGTGTTGTTTGAAATGAAAGATTAAACATGTCAATTTGGACTGAAATCAGTTCTACGTTATTAGAGTTTTATATTTCAGAAAATGGGAGAGGGGAAAAAAAGAGGCTTAAAATTGAAACATTTTTCTAAACCTATCCAGACAAGAAAAATAATTAGAGAAAATTTCTTACTTCCCACTAATTCGCGTAGGAGCAATGGATGACATATTTTTGCCACAAGAAAATAAAGAGTCGTGGATTGCTAATTAAAAGTTCCAGAAAACACTGATCAATTAAAAAAGTTAAAGTCCAAATAAAACATTCTCAAGCTAAATTTATTTTGAAGAGATTGATATGGGTAATAATAATTATGTGACTTTGTTAAAAAATGAATAAAAAAAAAATCCTGACTTGGGACTTTTTTACTCTAAATAAATGGCTTTGAAATGAAGGACAATTTTTCTAAATCACATAATCATGATTTTACTGCTACAATAAAAAGATGAAAATTACAGACTTTTTACACTTTTTGAGCCAATAGATGTGAAGAACATTGCATATCTAAAACAAACATTGCCAAATATTCAAAAGCTTCACATTTATTTTTGGATAAATTAAGACAAGTAGGGCGTGCTTTAGGATGAAGTATGAGAACTGGATTTAGGAATGTTTGAAGAGACAACAGCCTCCAAAGTTATCCGTTGAGCACAGATTAAAAGATCAGTCTCCTGTGGTGATAATACTGTTTGCACAATCAGAAACCCGAGTGCTTATACTGCCTGATACACCACGGCTGATGAGAGAGGGTAACAAGCTGTCAATACATGCTGATAAAGTTTTATTGCAAATCCAGGAGACTGCGGCGAAACACCTCGCGGACCCGGCCAGGTCGAGGTATCCAATTTCAGTGCATTCGAGTTCATTTAATCCGCTCGCCTCCTCTTTTTCATAAACACACCCGGAGAGGGAGAGAGAGAGGGAGGGAGAGAGAGAGAGACGCATGTTGGAAAGGTAATTACTCTGGAAGCAGAAAGGAACAGCGCAGCCTTAATGGATTCTCTTCTTCTAAACGCCAGTCGATCATAATTTCCATTACTGAAGAAAGACAGCTGAGAGAGGACATGTGACAAACACCACAGTCTATTTAGTGCCACTTTACTTTCATCAAATCTAAATTTAACAGATACTTGTTCTGTAGGAAAAGCATTGCTTATTATTTTGGGAGATACAGAAGTAAAACTGCTGGCTTCATTAGGTGAACTGGAGAGATTTTCAGTTTCTTTTCAGAAAGACCAAATTATGAATTACTGCTGAAACTTTTGGAGCATCTTTGAAATGGTGACAAAACAGTACACGTTGTTTTCAAGAATAGACTTGAAAAAGCAAATGAATAAGACAAATCTGCATTTTTGCTAAAATACTGATAGATAAAATATTCCCTATTTTATTAACTGTTATCAGTGAGGAGCCACATACAGAGGGAGAACATGCAAAGTCAGAAATGGGAGTCAGCTCAGGACTTTCTTGCTGCAAGGCAACGGTGCCACTGGCTGCTCCACTGTGGAGCCCCAGCTTTTTATGTAGACCGACACAAACAAATAAATAAAATCCAATGGTTTTAAAAATCTAATAAGAAAGTAGAGTTTAACAGCAATGCAATCTGTGGAGCTCATTTCAGCAAAGGAGCAATTCAAAGAGCCTTACATGATGAAAAAATAAAATAAGCAAGAAACATTACGTTGCAGTGGAAAAATAAAAGAAAGGTTGGCATGCAGACTAAAATTAATCAACATTCCACATAGAAACAAAAAGCTGCTTCTCCATGTTTGGCTCTGGTTCTGGGGATGCAGAACCAGAACCAGACGGCCTGAGGGGTCTGGAAGGTTGATACAACAGCAGCAGATCTTTAAGTGATTTCTAAACTAACAACAGTATCTTAAAGTCTGTTCTCTGATCTACAGGAAGCCAGTGTAGGGACTTTAAAACTGGTGTGATGTGCTCCAGCTTCTTGGTTTTAGTCAGATTGCGAGCAGCAGCGTTCTATCTGGTTGACTTTCTTGGAAGCGATGTGAAGATGCTGTTGCAGTAATCAATGCAACTGAAGATAAACACGGATGAATTTCTCTAGATCTTCCCGAGACATTAGTCTTTAATCCTAGAAATGTTCTCTTAAGGTTCAGGTTCGAGTCCATCACTACACCCAGATTTCATGCTGACTCTTGATTATTGATAAACAACTTGTTCTATGAGTAGTAACTCAGGAGGAGCTGCAGAGATCTACAACTCAGGTAGGAGAACTTGTTTTCATGGTTTGTTAAATTAGTAATCCATCATTCTCACAGTGAACATGGTGGCAGTTTCATTACATGGGCATGAACTTATTTTGCAAAAGTTAATAAAAATGTCATTTAACGAGAATACAGAGAGGGATATGCCAAATGTATTGATTCAGAGTGAGGCAGGTGGGTGGAAAACAAACAGTCATCTCAAAATTGTATTTGTAGGAATTAAAATCCTATTACAAAGACTTCAAAGTTATGCAATCCTCTGTCGGTCTTTCAAATTATATTCTTATAAAATATACAGAAATGTGAGGCATGAATATTATTGCAAGGCATTGATTTTCCGGTAATCTGCACGCATGAAATTCATCTCTTGTTTACATTTCTACTCCATCTATGGATCTGCTGAATGCCTGCTGTAATTATTTTGCTTCCTGTTTCTCCCGCCTGTTTAATCTATTAATGTGCATCTTTCTTACAGGTTGTTCGATTTCTAAACATCAGGGAAGACAGCAGGAAAAACTTTCAGCATTGAATCCTTTTGTATTTAATGGATTTTTCAAAGGTTATAATAATGGCTTAGATGGGCTGTAATTTGAAAAAATGAAAGAATGAAGTAGTTCTTCGTTAGGATGCAGTGCAGCGCTTAAAAGACGAGATCCAAAACATTTTACGAAAGAATTAAAAATTGACCTAAAACTGTTTTATTTGCAAGGTTTCTTTCCCCTACGTATGTCTATGCAAGCCTTTTAAAGTAGCAGCACCCACCAACACTCATCAAATTGTCTTCAATCAGAGAAAAGCAAGCAAAAACAAAGTCCTTGGTCAGAAAGTGGTCATTTAAAAGTGGATTTAAATCGTTGTTGGACATCAGGATGGCTAGTTTATGAAGCATTACCTTTTGCATGCCTTGCAGAGCCTGCTGCAGGAAGCTGAGCTGCTGTGAATGAGTGGTGTCCTCCTCGCTGCAGACTGGCTGGTTCTTTCCCTGCTCCTGTTTGAGCAGCTCCACTTCGTTCCTGTAGGCGTCCAGCTGGCAGCGTAGCGAGTCGTTCTCCTCCTTTAAGGCTTCTGCTTGGGAAACACCTACAGACATAAAAACACACAACACACATTTTCTTTTTAAAATGTGCTGAGTGTTATGGGACTGATCAATTTGGTTATGGTGTAAGTAAACAGCGTTTAATGGTTCTTATGCTTTGCACTGTAAATAAAAACTAAAAGCCTGAAAGTTGGATAGTAACATTCACGGTACATTTCTTTATTCTCTTGGGTGTTTGCAGGTATAGAAGGTGAGACAATATTTCTATGACAGAACATCCTGAAAGCCAGAATAACAACAAATCTATTTGATAGATGCTTGCTAATAAAAGCCTCTCAGCTTATTCCCAAAGTGCAGACGGAGTCAGAAAAAGATCTTGTGTTTATTTATAAAACCGGTTACACTCAGGAACCGGAAAACTTCTAACAGCTTTTTTCCCACTTAATTCTTTTGTGTCATCCCCAAAGACAACACAGTGCAAGTTACTGCGACAACGCACCTTTTGTTGGGAAAAGAGGACATTTTCCCACCTGATTTAAAATGACAAAAGACTGGCAAATAAACACATGACGAAGAAAGACAGAACAGTCTAGCATTGGAAGATTATAACAGGGAAAAAAAAGCTATTTTATATGAATCTAGATCAACTATTTCACATTTTAATCCAAGATCATGTAATTTTATTGATTCATGAAATCATGTTTTCAAATGTTACTAAATAATCCTGCTAGTAAACTGAATTTAAAAATACTGTTGAAACCAGAATTTATATATACTGAATAAAAAAAAAAGACACATAGTGACATGGGCTGAAAGAGGAAGCCATTAGTCTGGTAGAACTTTGAAGACAAAGACCTTCATTTTTGGAGACATATTGTGTGGTTTAATGAAACTAAAGTAGAACTGTTTGACCATATTGACCATTGTTACATTTGGAGTTAGAACTGAGATGCTTGTGCCATCCTGAATGTGAAGTATGGGGTTAGCAGCATCGTGTTGTGAATATGTTTTGCTGCAGGAGGAATTGGTGCCTTTCAACCCAAGCAAACTATTGGGAAGCTTGTAAAAGGAAACCCAGAAGATTTGACCCAAGTCATGAAGTTTAAAGGCAATGCCACAAAATACTGAGGTAAAGGTATGTACACTTCTGGTCTGAAGGCGATACAACATAAATATCACAGAGATTCTTTCACACTCATCATTGTGACATTTAGTAAAATGCGTAAAAGAAACATGAATTCTTTATCTATGGATCAATTAAGACAAAAATAAATCCACAAGCTCGCTTCAGGTTCCAGGTAAGTGACTTATTTTTCTGAGAAATGGCATCTTTCAAAGAAAATCCTTATTTAGTTTGTACAAAAGCCAAGGGCAGCCATGTCTGCAGTTAATGCTGTATATTTGATTTCATTCATTTGCTACCTTGCATGATTTTCACGTCAACACACCAGAGTTGGTCTATTTCCATTATCCTGAGAATTTGGGCTCTTGTTCAGTCGGAATATTGGCACACTCAAGAAAACAAGCTGCATTTTTGTGATCATGACAGGATTATGGGGTGAAAACGAACGATTCTTGAGTTCCAAGCAGCTTAGCATTAATTTATCCTTTAACAAGTACTGGCTCAAAGCTCAAAATTTCTGTCAAAGCAGTTGAGAGACACTGACACTTGATGTTCTACTCCTCATGCTTACATGGGATGCAATTTAATGTGAGAAACACTGAACAGCAGACATATGGATCCTGATGACCTTTTTCTGTATATAAAATATAAAAGCTCACATGCAGCAGCTGTTCACTTTCAATAAAAGCCGTTAAAGGTCTTCATAAAGCTGAAATTCATTTAAATTTCTACTGTCACTGAAACATGACTAAGCGAAAAAACAATGCAAACAACAAGCACTATAGATAAGAAATGTGCTTCACAAATGTCAAAATGCATTTAATTTACAATTTACAATTTACAATTTTAATGTTCCAAAAACTCATTTTGCACTCAGTCCAGCTAAATAAAGTGATGAACTGAAAAATATATCTTTCATTTTTGTTATTTGTAATAGGAAATTTGCTGCCATTTAAAAAAAAACCCAACAACACAATTTTATACCTATATTTCGATTTTAAATAAATTAAAACTTGAAAGCCTTTGCAAAAAGAGCATGGACATATTTTCTTCTACAGGAATGATGTCTGTGGAAGACTATGAAAAAAGCACAAGAAAAATAGTTCAATTGATAATTTTCGTGTCATAGTGTTGATGACATTTAATGAGAAAAATTGGGGTCGGGGGACGATTAAACCTGCTTCTGTTAAGATTTTTACTTAAATCCTAAATTAAAAAGTTAGTTTTTTTAAATCATTTTTAGAAGAAGTTTTAAAGAGACACTTGTGGCTCTGCAGGTTGGAAGCTACAGTTTGTTTTAGACAAACATATGGGTATTGTCAAAGGAGTTTGTGTTTTCTTGCTGGATGTTTCTTGATGTGAAATTTTCAGCTTTAAAACCAGTGATAATAAAAATAAATATTTTGTATCATTTGGGATTTTGAGAAAATCTCTAAATATGTTAAGAAAATACCTTTATTAATCAAAATGACTAAAAATGGATATCCTAGATCAGAGGTCTTTAACTCTGGTCCACCAGTGTCACTGTCCTGCAAAGGCCTTCTCATTAATTATTGATTTTATTTAGGTGTGTTGCAGACTTGTGTCCTAGGTTGCTCTTTAAAGAAAATAAACCTTGTTATCTCAAAAAGTGGCATTTGCATGCAAAATATCTGTGTTCCCAATCTCCCGGTACAAGTTGCCTCATTAGAAGTCTTTAGTCGTGTCTGGATTCTCGCCGCATCTGATAAATCAAACACCAGGAGCGTGTAGACAATGACTGGAAAGTGTAATAATCCCAGAATGTTCTGTCCAATAACTCTCCGCTGGATATTTGACCTGACCTGTAGAGCAGAGGCGGCAGACAGAGGGAGGCATCATTATTATGAGACCTGCCCGGCACCAGAGACGTCCAGCACTATCAGCTCGCTCTCCTCCTTTAAAGAAGAAGCTTTAAAAAAGGAAAAAAAAAAAAAAGCTAATTCGCCGTCTGAACAGGAGATAATCCTCATCCTATCTCTGTGTGTGTGTATATAAAAGGGTATTTTATTAGGGTATGTGTAGGTGTTCAGGAGAGCTGCCAGCAGTCTGTCATCAAGGACCATTGGCAGTGTTAATGAACTCTTGCTGGGCGAGTGTGCGTGTCCAGACGGAGCTTGTGTGTGCTTCTCTTCCAGCAAAATGAAGGTTTGAGGTGAAAAGGGTATTGATCTGAGAGCCTCATCAGCTTGGCGAGAGGAGATGTCAACCGCGTGGCCAGATTCGGTTACATAACCAGCAGCGCTTTCGACCCGCAGGAATGCACGCACACGCCTCCGGGCGCACATCCGCCAACAATAACCGGCGGTCCGTCTTTCTATTCCGCACATGGCTCAGACGCGAAGCTTCGATTCGCTTTGAAGAGGCTGCAGTCATAACCCAGGTGTTTCCAGCAGGGCTTGTTGACGTGTAAACATTCATTCTTAAAGGTTAGAGAGGGAAAAAAAGGGGGCTTAACACTTCAGCCTGTTAACACAAATATCAGGACGCGTCACATTAACACCCGTCACCTCAGCCGATCCTGCGGAATCGAGCGAAATGACGAGACTTTGACAGCAGCACTAATCGCTGATAGCTAAATAGAAAGGTTGCAAATGAGCCGACTGCAGCGTTTACATTTATTTGCACGGCAATTAGAGATGCTGTCATATTGGCAAATGGCAGAGATCGGAATGATGAACACGGAGGAAGAGTAGATGAGGAGAGCCTTGCATAAGGAACAGCCGACAGCGACCTTACACACGGCGGTGAGTGGTGAGCGGTTTCTCCGTGCTGCTCTGGTGACTACTCTCAGGCTATTGTTATGGGGCTGGAGAGATAAGCAACACCATTAGCTTTAGTTGCTTCAGCACACACAAATAGACTCCTCTGAGGTAAAAAAAACTGATTATTATCGCCCTTATAATCTGAAATATGAGCTTGCGGATGAGGTCTCTGTGTATATTTTTGCTGGAGTGAGGCGTGGCGTACTGTGAACCTGTTTCCTTATTAGTGTGGAGTTGTAGGAGGGCTGTCAGATGTTTAGAGGATGATCACTGTCATCCCAGTCAAACGCAACCGTCTCCCTCAGTTATTTAACAATCAATGCGTTCATCCTCAAGAGATCTCGATCGGTAGATTTCCTGTCAAGATGACAACAGTGCTGAGCTGCAGATACGCGCATGCATATGCATACCTGAGTCCTCAGAGTCTTTGCTGTCAGGGACGTCCTCCATATCATCGTCAGACATTTCCATCTCCTCTTCTCGCCTGATGCCCATCAGCTGCTCGTTGTGCATGTTTCTGATCTCCTGCGAAACACAGCAAAAGGAGCGGTGGATGAGAACTGTCAAGACTCATGAGGACTTTTAAGGAGGTGCTGAACTTGACCGGGTGCAATCACCAGGAAAGAGTCCTCTTCTATAGTTAATGTGGAGCATACGATATGAGGAATACTCAGAGTAGGTTGAAGGAGGACGAAGCTCAATGGAGAAGAAATGCTTCAAAACTAAGGAGCTGCTTCTCTTTTTACAGCTCAGACTGCAAATGAGACAATATGGGTTTAAACTTGACGACCAGTTAGAGCCTGAAAGTTCAATATACTCTATTAGGAGTACATTTTTGGGAAGTGGAAGGAAAATGATGCATGGATTTCAAACATTTTTACATTTAAGATCAAAAATGTATGGCATGCATTTCCATTCAACCCGCTGTAACAATACTTCATTGTGACAAATTTTGTCTTTTGCATAAATAGAGATTGAACATTTTGCCCATTCATCTTTGTGAAATACTTCAAGTTCAGTTAAATTAAGTAGTTTTCAAACCTTATGATAAATTATTAAATGGATTTACGTGATTGGTTTTGAGTTTTAAGCATTTTGAAGCATCAAACTGGGTTTTCCTCAGGTTAACTTTGCTCAAAGCATCCCCAGAGCATGCTGCTGCCACCACCACACTCCACAACAGAGATGATGTCTTCAGGGTGATGCACAGTGTTTATTTTTCTGACAAACAGGTTTTTGCATGTGTTCAGAGCACCTTCTTTGACAAGTGTGTTGAATCCCCTCCTTAGTTTGTGGCAAACTAAACATAACCAAACTAAACATAACCTCTTGCCACCTTTACACAAAGACAATCTGTAGATCTCTGAAGTTTCTGTAAAGTTAGCGCTGCCCGATTGGCTCCTTCTTTTGTCAATTTCATTGCCTGCCCTGTTAAAAAAGGAGGTTGGCTATGAAAACTTTTCTGATGGTGAATTAAACAGAGCTCTGTGACATGTTCAAAGTTTAGGTTTTAAAAGCTAAAACTCCATTTTAAACATCTCTACAACTTGATCTCAAACCAGTCTGCTGTGTTATTATGACATTTGTTTACTAATGTTCTCAAACAAACCTCTGAGGCCTTCACAGAACATCTGGATTTGTACTGAGATGAAATTGCACACAGATTCACTTTATTAAATAAACAGGAATCTTCTGAGGGCAGCTGGATTTTATTTTGGGTTAAACAATAAACATGGCTTAATATAGAGAACTTTATAGATTTTAAAATAACAATAAAAACCACATATTTGTTTCCTCGCTGGATTATTATGCACTACTTTGTGATGATTAATTATGTACAATCTGAATAAAATACATTAAAGTCTGTGGCTGCATTGTGACATGAATGTCACAATGAATATCACAATGTGCAAAAGTTTCAAACTTTTGCACATTTAAATTGAATTTAATCAAATTTGGAAAGATAAAAGATATGTAAATTTAAACAAATACTCTGATTTCTTTAAAATTTCTCACCGGTAACTGTAGTAAATAAGAAATAAAACAAAAAAAAATTCGCTTTTGTGGCCGTTATCACACTGTTGTCATTGTGCGGAGATAAAAAAAAAAATAATAATAATAAAGATTCTCAATAAATAGCTGCTGCAGCTCCAGCTAAGGATAAGAGAGATTCCCATTCAAACTGACTGAAATCACAGTGATGTGAAAAAAAAGAAAAAGTCAAGTGGTGCAGCTAATTTATTCAGAGCAGCCACCATCAAAACTAAAGCTGCAAAGATTTAGCAAAGCATTTTGTACAAGAACAAGCTGATCAAATGAAGTTATTTTAGATGATGGTGCTAAAAAAAATCCTCTGCAACCCATTAGCAAAGAAAACGGTGCAAATTACCAGTAGCTACTTTTAAAAGCTCTTTAAAAAGGTAAAAACTGACTTGTTTTCATCTTAGAAATTAACTAGTTTTTCCACAAAATGACTAAAAAAAGATTATTTTTAAACAGCTGCGTTAACACAGACTGTCTTGCTGTTGCTGGTTTTTATGCAGCGTTCTGCTTTAATTCCCAACAAGGAAAAAATACATAAATCAGAGGAATGTGTGATGTTGAAAAGCTTCAAGTGAATTCTATAATAATGAAAACTGGAACAAAAATATCATTTTTTTTTTTTTGTGCTAAAGGTAGCAGAGAGTATCTCAACCATCTGTCAGCTGACGTCACCAACCAAAGCTCATGGAAGAAGTCACACAGGTAACTCCACACACACCAGCACATGAAGAAACAACCCACTAGTGGGCATGAAGCCCACTGACAGGAGGCGGCAGCTGTTGTCTGACTGAGGAGCAGAGCTGAATCTATTTAACTCTGCTGCCTTTTCTTCCTCCCTGCCACAGAATCTGAATGAAGCGCACTTCCTGTCGTGGCCCGTCTTCGCTCTGACCAGAGGCTTCCAGTATGGGAACCTCCGAGTTTGATTTACTGTGGAAACAGGGTTGCATCAGGCCACATTTTGCAAGTTAAGGAGTAATTTGTTGTGATTTAACACACATGCGAGGCCACATGTAGCTTTTTCACACCTTAAACCAATTGCTACGGTTTTCTGACCTCCACACGAATGTATGGTTGCATCTTGCAGCTCTTACTGTATCACCTCCTCATATTTAATCACAGGCTTTCAGTTGCGTAGAGGCTGAGTGCTCAGAAATAAATGACAGAGAGCAGAAGTAAAGTAGCTGCTGAAGAAATTCGTGCTCTGGTGAGACCTAGATACAGAAGGCTTGTAATAAGATGGCACAAACCAAAATACAGCAGGAGGGCAAATAAATATGGAGCCGTACGCCGACAGTACACAGAACCTGGCAAAAGTATTCACACTTTTTCATGTTGTGACAAAAAGCTTCTATGTATTTTAC